GTATTCAAGGGTGAGTACTGTTTTAGTATTTTTTTTCTCATGATTTAGTGGTATCTCATTATATCTCTTGATTATAGACACACCAAAAGAAAAGGGAATTTTTGTTTGTTTTCTTTCTGTTGTTCTTATTTTGGTTTGTTGATTTCTTCTTCTTCCTCTTTTTTTTTTTTTTTTTTTGGTTACTAAAATGTCTCTCTTTCTCAATACAGTTGCCAATTCAATCACTAAATAATGGATTATTTGCCACATAAGAAGGGCAAAACATGGGCTATTTTCTCCCATGAATTTTTGCCTATTTGAGACCCTAAACCAAATTGAGAAAAGCATGATTAAAACACTCAAAATGCCAATATAGTAAGATGTATACACTTTGTGAGACTAACTCGAGAATCTACTGCCCTGCTTCTCCATGGATAGGGCTCTGTAAGGCAGGACTTTAAATGAAGTCCAAGCACCTTTTCTCTATCTGTTTAGCTCCAGTGCAGGAGAACAGATCAGCATTTAAGGTATAAATGAAATCATTCTATTCCTGAAGAGAACATTTGCTAGTCACATTTATGGTGGAAGAAGCAATCTCACAACACAATACAGCTCTCCTTGTGAGTGGAGCAGGCAAGTCCTGGGTAGGGCTAGACTACAGGGCTCACAGGCTCTATGCCCTAAGCCAGTGATGCTCCTTTGTGCCAGAGGCTGGGTTTTGTAGCAAACTCAGTCCAGGCCAGGGTGCACTGGGCCTACCAAGAAACCTAAATAGTCAACTAACCCCCCTGAAATAGACAGACCTATTTCTTTAATCATTAGTATTATCTGTATACCTTTAGGGGGTACAAGTGCAGTTTTGTTACATGGATATATTACCCAGTGGTGAAGTCTAGGCTTACCAGAGCAACAACAGGGTGGTAGATGATCTCCCTTGTGCAGCCAACAGCTGTAACCCTGGCAGGTAGGGTGCCTACTGTTCATACTGACTACAGAGAGCGGGTACGTCTCTAGCCTGATAAAAGATATGAAGCTGGTTATCAATTTGTTGCCTCTCACCTTCAAATTCACCCTTCAATATATATTCTCTGATAATAGAGAGATTTTTAAAGTATCTCTCCTTTAAAGTAACAGCAAAGAGCAGGATGTTACACTTACGTAATAGAGGGCTCTGGAGGGACAGACATTGAAAACAGAAGTGGTGCTTCTTTGATTTCTGACTCTCAGAGGTGCAGAGGTGAGGCCACTGAGGATGCTTTGTCCCAGGCCTGGGCCCAGAGCAACTGTCCCTCAGCAAACCTTCAGTCCTGGTGTGGCCTGATGATCAGCTTCCTGTGGCCCTCTTGATAGGGACATCCTGTACTCCAAGTCATTTGTCCACTGCTTCCCTCTGCTCACTTGCTCCATAGCCACACACACACACACACACACACACACACACACACACACGACCACGTTCCTGTAATCCTTTCAATACTGCAACCCTCTCAACACTGAGCCCCCACCCTGATCCTGTGCATGGGTCATTGTTGACTCCAGGCCTCCAACTGAGCCAGGACCCCCAACCCCTACTTCACAGCCATATACTAGACACCAGCTATGACTTGTCCACACTACCGTGCTCCAAAGGGTGCCTTCTTGCTTCCTCTCCGACTGTAGACCAGTTTTGGCTTTGCAGATCAGCTCAGGTACTGGCAGACCAGTGGAACTTCTCTGCCATCCAGCGGGTTCTTCTCCAATGTGATGTAAAATCCAGCCTTTGGGAGAAGTTTTCATTCTAAATTTGTCTTTCCTTGGGTACTCGCCTCCAGCCCCAGAAAACCCCAGACAGAGTTGTCTTGTATCCTATATAAGATCTTTTTTCATAGTTTAATGATTCTTTATATTAAACTTTCCCCTTCTAGGTCACTGTGTGCTTTCTGTCTCCTGACTGGACCCATACTGCTACAGAACGCAAGCATTATTCTTAACAGAGAGTCAGTGAAAGCTTTCTCTTTAAGAGCTGCATCAAGAAAGGATGTCCACTACCGACACTTGTATTCAATAGTATGCTGGGGGTGGGGGTGGGGTTTCAAACAGAGCAGTGGTGCAAGAAAAAGGAATAAGATATTTGGAAAGGAAGAAGAAAGACTGGCGCTATTTGCAGATGATGTGACAGTGTACATAAAATTCTACAGAGTATTAGAGACCAATTATTAGAATCAATAGAAGAGTTTAAACGCTCGTAGGATAAAATGTTAATGAACAAAAACCACTTGCATCCTATTTGCCAGCTACAAATTTAGACAATGAAAATTTCAAACATAGGATTTGCAAACTATGACGTGCCTAGGATAAAAAAAAATTACCTTCTGGGAAAAATATAATATGTCATTTGGGCACATTAAAGGAGATCTTATTAAAAGGAGAGACAGACCATAACCATGAATCAAACATTCAATATTGAGAGGTCAACTCTACAATTTCAGCACAATCTGAATTAGAACTCCAAACTAGCTGTTGGTTGAAGTTTTCATGATGAGTTTATAATTTAAATGGAATTGAAAGGGGCCAAAGTTAGCCAAGACACTTTTGAAGAACAAGGTAGACTTGACTTGCCTTACCCAAATATCAAACTTGACTATCGGTCTTTAGTAATTAAGACAGTGTGGTATTTCGCACAGACAAATGGGGCCGAGCACTTAATAGAGAGCTTAGAAACTGGGCCATCTGTGTGTAGATACTTCATTGATGGCACTGTAAATCACTTGGCAAAAGGCAGACTTTTCAATAAGTGGTTCCTGAGAAAACTGGATATCCACACAAATAAATAAACTCTACTCAACACAATACACAAACAGACATCAACTGTTTTTGGATTAAGACCTGACTGTGAAGGGCAATAGCATACATATTTTAGAAGCAAATATAGAGATTGCATTCACGGCCCAGGGTTTCTTAAAAAAGAAAAGATTTATTAAAACAGATTTCTTAAAAAAGCACTAACCATCAGGAAAAATGATGAATTTGACTATATCATAGTTAAGATCTTCTGCTCACCAAACACAGCCCAATGCAAGGGAAAACACAAACAGAGCCAGGGAACATTTTGGCCACAGGTGTGGACTACTATTTAGAATATTTAACAGGCTCATCAAGTCAGAAAGTACCAGGTGAGAAATAGGATAGAAACATGGGTTAAAAGAGGTAAATGTGAATAGGTCTTCCTCAGAATAGAAACTCCAAAAGGCTCATAAACACGAAAATGTGCTAAAGCTTAATGGTAATTTGGGTATTGCCCACGAGTAGACCGGTAAAATTTAAATTCTGGCAACACTTGGTGTAGGTGAAGATGTGGAGCAGTAGGGACTCTCTGTGCTGCTGGTGGGATTGACAACTGGCCCAACCACTACAGAGAACAATTTGGCATCATCTAGTAACGCAGAGGATATCCGTACCCTATGGCCCTGTGATTCTATTCTTGGCTATAGACCCTAGAGAGATTTTTACACATGTGTCCCATGAGAAATGTGCAAGAATGTTCATGATAATCCTTGAAAATTAGAAGCAATCCTAATGTCCATCCGCTGTAGAATGGAGTGACATAATCATACCACAATCGCTTTGCTATAAGCATATGCTGGAACGACAGTCAACGATGGAGACAAAGGATGTGCTCACTTACAGCTATTATGAACACCATGGACGAGTCTCTCAAGTATAATACAGGGTGAAAGAAGCAAGCTGTAAAAGGAAGCATGCCTTATGATTTCATTTATACAAGTGCATATCAACTCTATTGTTTAGGGATGCGTACAAAAGTGATAAAGCTATAAAGGAAAGCAGTGAAATGATTATTACAAAGTCAGGGCAATGACTATATCCGTATAGGAGAATGTGGGTTGTGATTGGGAGGAGTATGGCGGCTGTATTCTGGAAGGCTGGCAGTGGCCTATTGCTTGACCTTGGTTCTGGTTACATAGGTGTCTACTTTTGTAAAATGATCTAAACCATACAGATACATTTTATGCACTCTTCTATAGCTCAGATTTGACAAACGCTTCCTCCAGGAAAAGTACCAGAAAGAAAAGTATGTGGAGTAGAAATTTTGAAGAGGTTTGAATAGTTATGTTTCAAAACTTGATCTTCCAGTCAAGAGACCAAATGCCCACTGTCATTAAAAGAGGGCAAGAGAGCTGGGAGTAATTAAACCACGGGTTACTCGCCCCCGCCTCGCCCGCCCCCCCCCCCGACCAATCTAGTCATCTCTCTAAGTCTTCTCATCTCAGATATTTCACCCTATATTTGCGTCAATTCCCAACTCATTCCTGACATACAAATTGGAGGAATGTCGTCATCATTAATAAGATCATTAGGCACCACAGGCCCAGCAGGCCTGGGCCTCCACACTTAAATGCGAGCGGGTACAGCAGGGCGATCGGGCATGATCGTCCGTGCCTTTTACTTGGCAGAGTCCATTGCAGTGACTGAGGGTTTAACCTTAACACATGTAACTGGAACTCCTGCCCAGAGGCCTCCACGTGCTGGAGAAGGCAGTCAACTGAGGAATGCCCTCATTGTGCTTTGAGCGTGAACATGAAATTTATCATGGTACAACCGATGGTGGAAGGGCAAAGAGTTGGTTAGGGTTGTGCACTGTATAGGGAGAAGCCTGGAGTGGGTTGGGCTTTTTCCAGATTTCGGTAAAAATTGTTTCATCCTCCAGGCTTTGCATTTCTAGACGGAACAGTGCTAACGTGTTTTGGCCGCATCGCTCACTCATTCTAATCTCTGTATCGGCAAGACAAAAATTGAACTATGTGGCAAATTTTACTGAGGACTTTGCTCAAGACAATCGTGAGTATGGAAGTTGTCCCGCGGGGAGGTGGGAGGGGGAGGGACACTTTCAGCAGAAATGCCAACACTATGGTGGTCTAACGCTGACACAGAGACAGTTTATTCTCTCAGGAACTGTCTTTCATCCATCAATCCAGCCAGCCAGCCAGGCAGGCAGGCAGCCAGTAAACAAATTTTAACACACAAAAAGTACGACGCAACACGTCTAACACTGGGAGGGGCTGGGGTGTGTTTATTTGGGTATATACAATGAGTCACGGATTAAAATTGCTTTTAGCGGATAGCTACTTAGGTGATCCACAGCGTTGATGAACAAGCTGTCGTCATTTCCCCATTACCTCAGAAGACCTCCTTAGTTGCTTACTTATGTTAATGGTAGAACGCAGTTAGGCATAGCAGGCTCTACCTCTGGGCTTTCTATTCTGTTCCAGAGACCCAGTACCAGAATATTTAAATCACCGTGGCGTTAAATACGTTTTAATATCTGATAGGGCCAGTTTCTGCGCATTGCACATTTTTTTTTTTCCCTTTCAGGAACGTGTTCGGGCCCGCGGCAGGGGGCGGGGTCGCGCCTCCGCCGCGGCTCTGGTTCCAGCCGAGCCTCACGGACGCAGAGATGGAAATCCCGAAGCTGCTCCCGGCTCGCGGGACCCTGCAGGGCGGCGGCGGTGGCGGTATCCCCGCGGGCGGCGGCCGGGTCCACCGAGGCCCTGACCCGCTGGCTGGCCAGGTCCCCACGCGCCGCCTCCTGCTGCTCCGGGGCCCCCAAGATGGCGGGCCCGGGCGGCGGCGCGAGCAGGCCCGCACGGCTTCACGGGGCCCTGGCCCGAGCCTGTTGGCGCCGAGGCCCGATCAACCTGGCGGCGGCGGCGGCGGCGGCGGCGGCGTCGGCGTCAGCGGCGGCGGCGGCGACGACTTCTTCCTGGTGCTGCTTGACCCGGTGGGTGGCGACGTGGAGACCGCGGGCTCGGGTCAGGCCGCAGGGCCTGTGTTGAGGGAGGAGGCCGAGGCGGGCCCGGGGCTCCAGGGGGGCGAGAGCGGCGCGAACCCCGCGGGCCGCCCTGCGCTGGGCCCTCGCTGCCTGTCCGCGGTTTCCACTCCGGCCCGGATCTCCGCCCCCGGCCCCGCCGCGGCCTTCGCGGGCACAGTCACTATCCACAACCAGGACCTGCTGTTGCGCTTTGAGAACGGCGTCCTCACCCTGGCCACGCCCCCACCACACGCTTGGGACCCGGGGGCCGCGCCTGCCCAGCAGCCCGGGTGTCTGATCGCCCCGCAAGCCGGGCTCCCGCAGGCCGCGCAGTCGGGTGACTGCCCAGAGCTGCCGCCCGACCTCCTGCTAGCCGAGTCGGCCGAACCCGCGCCTGCTCCGGCGCCCGAGGAGGAGGCGGAGGGCCCGGCCGCCGCCCTGGGGCCCCGCGGACCGCTGGGCTCGGCCCCAGGCGTGGTGCTGTACCTGTGCCCTGAGGCGCAGTGCGGGCAAACCTTCGCCAAGAAGCACCAGCTGAAGGTGCACCTGCTGACGCACAGCAGCAGCCAGGGCCAGAGGCCCTTCAAATGCCCCCTGGGCGGCTGCGGCTGGACCTTCACCACCTCTTACAAGCTCAAGAGGCACCTGCAGTCGCACGACAAACTGCGGCCCTTCGGCTGCCCGGCGGAGGGCTGCGGCAAGAGCTTCACCACCGTGTACAACCTCAAGGCGCACATGAAGGGCCACGAGCAGGAGAACTCGTTCAAATGCGAGGTGTGCGACGAGAGTTTCCCCACGCAGGCCAAACTCAGCGCCCACCAGCGCAGCCACTTCGAGCCCGAGAGGCCTTACCAGTGCGCGTTTTCTGGCTGCAAGAAGACGTTTATCACAGTGAGTGCTCTGTTTTCCCATAACCGCGCCCATTTCAGGGAGCAGGAACTCTTCTCCTGCTCTTTTCCTGGCTGCAGCAAACAGTATGACAAGGCCTGTAGGCTGAAAATTCACCTGCGGAGTCACACCGGCGAGAGACCTTTCCTTTGTGACTTTGATGGCTGTGGCTGGAACTTCACCAGCATGTCCAAACTCTTAAGGCACAAAAGGAAGCACGACGATGACCGGAGGTTCACCTGCCCCGTGGAAGGCTGTGGGAAGTCTTTCACGAGGGCCGAACATCTGAAAGGCCACAGCATAACCCACCTGGGCACGAAGCCTTTCGTGTGCCCTGTGGAAGGCTGCTGTGCCAGGTTCTCCGCTCGCAGTAGCCTCTACATTCACTCCAAGAAACACCTGCAGGATGTGGACACTTGGAAAAGTCGTTGCCCGATCTCCACTTGTAATAAACTCTTCACATCCAAGCACAGCATGAAGACGCACATGGCCAAAAGGCACAAGGTTGGCCAGGATCTCTTAGCTCAGCTAGAAGCAGCAAATTCTCTTACACCCAGCAGTGAACTTACCAGCCAGGGACAGAATGATCTCAGCGATGCAGAGATAGTGTCTCTCTTCTCTGATGTACCTGACGGTACTTCTGCTGCAGTGCTGGACACGGCGTTGGTGAACTCGGGAATCTTGACTATTGACGTGGCTTCCGTGAGCTCGACTCTGGCAGGGAACCTCCCTGCTAATAATAATAATAATTCCGTAGGGCAGGCTGTGGACCCTGCGGCCTTGATGGCCACCAGCGACCCTCCTCAAAGTCTGGATACCTCTCTCTTTTTTGGAACGGCCGCCACTGGTTTTCAGCAGAGCCCCTTAGATATGGATGAGGTCTCAAGTGTAACTGTGGGGCCATTGGGATCTCTGGGCTCTTTGGCCATGAAAAACTCCAGTCCAGAGCCCCAGGCTTTGACGCCCAGCAGTAAGCTAACAGTGGACACAGATGCTCTGACTCCTTCGAGCACCCTTTGTGAAAACAGTGTCTCAGAACTACTGACACCAACCAAAGCGGAGTGGAACGTACATCCTGACTCTGACTTCTTTGGACGGGAGGGAGAGACCCACTTCGGATTCCCCAATGCAGCAGGAAACCATGGTTCTCAGAAAGAAACAGATCTTATCACTGTGACTGGCAGCTGCTCATTTTTGGTATGAACCGACTCTATTCATTCCTCGCCATGTGGCTTACTTTTATTACGGTCCATTTTGAGGATATTCTGGACTAAATGTTTAATTAAGTGCAGTCATTTATTTGTGGCTTGCAAAAAGAGCACAGCCCTGGACTACAAGTTTGGAGATCTAAATTCTGACCTTGAGTCTGGAACTGACAAGTTGTGTGACCCTGAGCAAGTCACTTAACCTATCTGAGCCTTAATTTCCTTATTTATAAATCGAGGTGGTTTGAGTAGATTGCTTGTAAGGTCTTGCTGCTCTGTGATCCCTTGATAATACTTTTCTTTCCTTGAAGAATATGAGAACGCTCTTCAGTGATGTGGCATGTCTTTTTTTTTTAACTGCTCCCCACCCCTGGCATGTTCTTTTATTGGCAAACATGCACAATATTGCATCATATTATGATGAACATCCATGTACTTTTCACCCAACTTCAGCAATTGTGAATCCATGAACAATCTGTTTAACTTAGCCCTACTCAATTTCCCGTTTTAGCATTATTTTGTAACAAATAGAAGATATCTGATCATTTTATCTATAAATATTATATATCTATATAGATATCTATACCGATATCAATATCGATATAGATATCTATATAGATATATATCTGAAAGCTGTCAGCTGATATGGAAAAAAGGATAATTCCATTATCATAAGTGATATTTACAGTAATTCTTTAATATCTGTAAATATCCAGTGAGGGTTGAAACTTCCAGTTGCCTCATAAATGCTATTTATTATTTTTAATTAGTAGCACCTCGTTAATCTCCTAAGTGTCTTTTTAATCCTTATGTTTCCCCTTCATCTTTCTTTTTTTCCTTGCCATTTTGATTATCAAATGAGGTTGTTTCACATGTAGCATTTGCCACAATTTAAGTTTTGCTGATTACATCCCTATGGTAATGTTTGCTGTCCTCTATTCTCTGTTTCTTTAAGTTGCTGGTTATGTCTAGAGACTTGATGAGATTGAAACATGGCTTTTGGCATGAATGTTTCATAGGTTATGTTGTGTTCTTTTATTAGGTGGCGCATAATCTGGTTTTCTCTCTTTGTGGTATTAGCAGCTGCTTCAGATAAATGCATTAATTCATGATGCTTCTGATATGATGAATCATCCTGGTAGAGTTACTAATCATTATGAGAGGTGGAAATGCTATGTAATAGAAATATTATTCAATGCCAAAATATTTTCTTAAATAATCATAGAACTAACAAGAAAAAAATAGATAGCAAAGAATGTGTTGGCTGTTCTCATTGTTTATCTTCTTTACTTCTTTTGATGATGGAAGGCTGTTTTGTGGAAATTACCAGCCAAGACTTTGACATGAAACAGACCTTGGGTTAAATTTTGGCTCTGTGGTGTTGGATAAGTGGCCTTGAATAAATTAGTTACTAAGCCTCAGTTTTCTAGCTTTTAACTGATCATAGCAATGCACACACATACCTGACACACTTAAATTTTCTTATCTTCCTGTTTCTTACGTTAAGGAAAAATACTATATGTTTTGGCATATTTTGGTAAACTTGTACCATTTTTACTCTCTCAGTGCTTCCTTCTATAAGACAATAATTGGAGTATTTTTATTTTATTCATGTGCAGGCAAAAGATCTTTATGAGTAGGAAAGGGAATCTGTTTATTCCCTCTTACCTCTACTGAATAATTTTCTCTCCAAGAATTGTTCTGGGAAATACCAGGAGTGGAGACATTGCCACATGCATAACAGCATATCTCTCCATTCGATCAGTTTGTCACCATCTTTGCTCTGTTTTGAAAGTCAGGCTTCTCTGTAACTGTAAAGCCTGCTGTTCCCTGAAAATCTAATAATGGAGCAGTGGAGGTTTCTTTCTTTCTGTGTTCTGTAGATCTCATTGTTTGCACTTACAGTTTCCCAAGAGTTGAAAGGAAAGATTGAATTGAAATATTGTGTAAACTGTCTGTCTTAACGTTAGTGTAACATTTTGCAATTTGGGGAGCATCTTTACAACTTGTGTCTCGTTGTTCAGAATGACCCTGGGAAGTGGTTTTGGCAATGTCTATGTTATGTTTCATGCAATTTAGCCAACTCCCTTTCCAACTTGGCTTTGGCTAAATCTGACAATTCTATATATAGCTTAAAACAAAGAAGATACATTCTTTTCACCCATCCTAGTCTATCCAGCCTTCATGATTCATTCTTGTGTCAACATTAGTCGTTGTTTTCCATTTCAATTGGTTTCTCTTGTGGTCGGTTTACTTTCTGTCTTCTCCACTCCCTTTCCTGCACAGTCACGTCCTTGCCATGCCTTTTTGTCCTTTTTTTAAATGGGTATATCTTTTTCCTGCCATTATCCCTCAGACATTCTCCTCATGGCTCATTTTCTTCAAATGCTAACATTTACTAAGAGTGTACATTGGAGTTCTGTGCATACAGGAAGAAGTTATTTTCTGAGCTTAGATAATACTATGTGTATATGTGATTCAAATGATGAAGATTATTTTCTATACCCTTCAAATGAGAAGTGGATTTCTGTTTCATTACTTCCATTTTTAAGTTTTTGCCAGAGAGTTTTGCTAATACTCTCTTATTTGCTCTAGTGTACTAGTCCAGTAGTGTTTGCATGTGGATGTCTGTGGATGACAGTTATTGTAGCACTTTGGCAGTGCACTAAAAATTTGCCGCTATGAAATGTTTCTGTATTGTGTGTGTGTGTGTGTGTTGAAATGCACACACAGCTACACTCACATATATATTAAAAGTGGTTGTATTCATTTAGTAAAAAACAAAAAGTAGACATACTTTTGTAAATCAGATAAATGCTTGGAATTTGATTGTGTCTACCCATTCAACAGTTTTCCCTCTTTGCTCTGGAAATATTTGTACTCATATAGCATATTTCAAAAAATGTTGTCATTCATTAAGGCCTCTTAAATAGACCACTATTTTTTGTGTCTGGCAGATAAGTATGTCAAGGTTTGAAATGAACACATAAGTCATGGAAATTAAATAAATGTATAAACATAAAAATAATTTAATGCTGTGACTTCATTTTTTAAATTCTTTAAACCAACTTTCTCCCAATAAAAAATTATAGACTATATATTTTCCTGCTTATTCCTGGAATTGTCAAAGGACAAATGTTACGTTCTCAAAGGGAACAGCTTTTTTTTGTCCATGGGCTCACGAAGTTTCACTGAACAAATTTGTTCAAATGATTTCTCTTTCAACATCATTTTCTAGCAAAATCGTGAAGAACAGCTTTGCACTTTCAAGGTAATAAGTTTAATTCAGTTGGTGCTGACAAGTTGCATGTGACGGGTCTGAAAAAATTTGCCATCCCTCTTTTTAAGTAATGGTATTTGTTTTAATTTTATTCTGTTTCCTTTCTGCTTTGCCTCTGGCATTGACTTATTAAAACTTCTCATCAATTGAAAACACAGTAACATAATGGATTAAAAAAATTGTTTCTAAGGGCTCCATTTATCATAATTGTCATAAGCTAAAAATATACTGATATTGCTGGGCTTTTTTTTTAACCAGTTAGTATAATTAATACAACAAAATGCTTGAGTAGTAATTGAGAAACATGGATAGCCTATGAAGTTTGTCTCTGTGACTTACATTTTTCAAGTTCATATCCAGGAAACATATGAGAAAGTAATTTATAAGCTGGAGATTACACTGTATGTATTTCAAATTAACAAATATTTACTGAACATCATTGTGCAGATTATACCATAACATACTGAGGGGTCTATGATAAGAGTAGTATATGACCCTGACCTTTAAGGAGATCACTGTTGATGGGAGGAGATAGAAAAATAATATATCTAAAAATTGGAGAACAAAAACAGAAAAATGTTTACTTAGGTACCAATATGAAAATGATTAAGAGGTGTAAAAAAAAAAGCAGTAAGAATAATATGTTTGTTCTGGACACAGAGATGAGCCAGCAAATATATTTTAATAGAAGATTTGGATCATGAAAATTATATTTTAGAAAAGTTAATGTTATGGAAGTGTGCAATGTGGATTAGATGGGAAAGACTGGAAAAAAAAAATAGCGAGAAAGCTTTTGCAGCTATCAAGGTATGATAGGAAGGATGAAGCCAGGACTAGGATAGAGTCAGTGGAAATCAAAAGGAAGAAAGAGATATTGGAAATATTTTCAAATATTTCCAGTATTTGAAGACAGATTTCAAATATCAGATAATTTCAAATATCTCTTCAAATACTGAAGAGAGGAGGGAGTATTACTTAGTGCCTCATTAGAGTGGGAAGAAGGAAAGGAGAGAGACAAATTATAGAAACCAAGAATGGTCACTCGAGTTTTCTTGGGGAGTATAATAATCATGTTTTTGCTAACAGAATGCGGGAAGTCAGGGAGAGTTCTTTTTGAGAATCAGTGTAGAAAGACTGTGTACTTAGTTAAACAATAATTGTTAAAGTATTTTTTATCCTGCATGAGCTATCCACATTGTGGTTTATCCACTTTCTGGAAGACAGCACAAGGCTACTTCTTCTTTTTTTTTGATAAACTTTTGCAGGGGTTTCCTTTAGACATTCTCAGAACTACCTACACAGTTGTGATCCTCTTTCCTCCTTTTGAATTACCAGACACCTCCCCATCTTGTCTTGAATGATCCAGATCTGCACTGGTCAATATGGTAGTTACTAGTCATATGTGTCTATTTAGCACTTGAAATGTGTCTAGTACAACAGAGGAACTGAATTCTTAATTTAACTTATTTAAATTTAAATTTTAAAACCAAAGCAGTATAAAATATTTTTCTGTTAGACACAATTCTATTGTTTTGGCAGTACTAAATTTCACTTTAGCCACTGAAAATTTAGTATCTAAATTGAGGTGTGCTATGAATGTAAAATACAAACCTTAATACAAAGTTTTCAGAAAAAATAAAAAGTTTTCAGAGGCTGAATGCAAAAAATTAAATATCTCATTAGTATTTTAATATTGATTACGTGTTGAAAAATGTTTTGAATAATCTTTTGAATAGATTTGAATAATGCTTTGAAAAGAAAATATTGAAATTAATTTTACCAGTTTCTCCTTACCTATTTAATATGGCTACTAAAACATCTAAAATTAAGGTGGGGCACAGTGGCTCATGCCCATAATCCCACCACATTAGGAGGCCAAGGCAGGAGGATGACTGTGACCAGGAATTGGAGGCTGCAGTAAGCTATGATTCCACTGCTGCACTCCAGCCTGGGTGAGAGAGTGAGACCCTATCTCTATAAAAAAGAAGAAAAGTAAAGAAAATTTAAAATTAAACATATGACTGTTTTAAGAAATAAAATTATAGATAAGCTCTCATTATATTTCCATTGGACAATACCAATCTGGACATTACATCACTTCCTGAGACTACTCTATGCCTTCTGTGCTGTATAATAACTTTTAAGATTCGCTGGCTATTCTATTTTATGTTTAGGGTATAATAGTTTATGTATTATAAAGGACTGCACCATAGTTTCAGGAACAGTATTTTGTCATGAATTTCAGCAGTTCGCTATGAAAGTAGAAATGAGTTTTACCTGCATTCTTCTCAGTTGCAGCCAGGAAGAGTAG